ATGCTGCGGTTTCTGGCACCTAGCCATTTGAGCCCTTGTCCAAACTCCAAGTATCCCCCAAAATATCCCCTATATAATCCCCTATATAATCCCCCTTTAAGGAGTTTAGACTATAGCTCATATAACCATAAACCCTAAACCCAAGTTTCCAGGTCCAGGATGAGGAGGGCTATGGACACTTGCCTGTCCTAGTAAGGACGTGTCGCCTCCTTGACAGCTGGCAAACGGCCACATGTTGTTGGTCGGAAGTAGTGATATATATATATTTATATTTATTTATTTATTTATTTACTGTAGTAATATAGTAAAAAAAAAAGCCAGTAATATTAGTAATAATATAATACTACAGTAGCAATATAGTAATGGAGCAAACCATCAAGAAGAACGGCCTTTGAACATGGCCTTGAGCAGCTGACTTTCCACAGTTTCCCATTGCGCAGGATGTTCCATCAAGAGGGATGAGTGATACTGTTAGCGTCCATGGTAGTGGGAGAATGAGCTATCACTCAGCAGGAAGAGGAGACCAGATTAGGAGGAAAAATCGAGGTCATCAGGCAAGACCGCTTGCACTGAGAATAGCAATCATACTTAGACCCTGCGGCAAGGGTAAACCCGAGGTTCCAACTCGATGGCCTTGAACTGCTCCTCCTTGCAGCAAGGTTCCGCCTTACCCCAAGCCATAAACTATAGCAATATAGTCCTCCTTAAGTAGGTAGGTAGAATATATTTCATCCACTTAAGGGGGACCATATCTATTTGAAGAATGCAAGTAGTGACAATTTCTGTATGGCTATGACTCTCCTGTAGAGGTCGCCACCCTGGGATGTGCAAACACATGGCTGGTAATCATGTTGTATTTATCAGGGCCTTCCCTTGCACCTTCCAGAAGCTGCAACCTTCAGACATTCAAGGCCCTTTTTTTTCCTTGGGGACGTCTCGAAAGTCCTGCCTTCAGGCCCTGTGGAATGTCCAAGTCAACATGGCCATTTCAGCCACCAGGTCGCACAAGGCATTTTTTGCGGCAAAGCGCTATACTTCATGACCACCTCGGCTACACTGTGCCAACACTGTTCTTTAGCAAGCTGCAGCATCTCGATGTCGCCTTCGTCGCGGCTACGCGCGGGACGCTTTCGCCAAGTGCTTCCGACCGCAAAGACTGGTCTCTCTTCCTATCGCATATGCCCTCTCTCGCCATCTATCTTCTGCCTAGTCTTTGCCTTGCTCCGTGTCATGTTGATGCTTGCCGCTGCGCCGCAGCGTCGACAGACTCTGGTGGTTCTGGGTGAGATTCCACTTAAGCCGCAAGCCTCAAGCCCTGAAGCCTAAAAATCTAAACGCTGACAACTACCTAAACATCACCACGAAACACCAAAACCTAAAACCTATGCCCTGAGCCATTCGCGCTATCCGGCCCTGTCCTTGGTGTTTTCGATTGACCTTGGCTTCGCCTCTGGCTTCCTGGGTCACAATCTTATGTTGGGATTGCCCAAAACGGGCAGGGTCCTAAGAGAAGCTAGGGAAAAGCAGGGATCTTCTATATGTACATGTATATGATGTATATGATGTATATATATATATGTATATATATATATCTGTATATATAGCAGTGTGTAAGCAAACCTTCATGCTTTGCGACCATCAGCCTGCTACAATACATGGGGTTTTATCCGACGTATACTGCCTCTGCGAATGGTAAGTACTACTGTGAGAAATCAGACTACTGTGGCAAAGGAGGAAGATAATAACAGGAAGCTGCAATGGTGTTAGGTAATAGTAATACGGCTCAATATGTAGGAGCGTGCTTGGGATCCAGGACTCACGCAAGAAGGCTAATTAGAAATGCGGGTATTTACAGAAGTCCGAAGCCTGTTTGGACAGCGACAATCTAGAAAGTCTTGGAAACCCAGGTTTCGAGCAGCGTAAAATCGAAGCAGCAAGTTTCATCATAAGAGCCATAAGAATGACAAATAATCGAAAGAAGACTGCTCGTTTAGTGATGATGATAATGGTATTAAGAATCAGAAGAAGAACAACACTGATGCTTGCATGTATCGTGTCCCCTCAACTGCGTATCAAGGAAGTCTTGCAAGACTTAGGAAGACTTAGGATACCTGAAGAAATGACCTTATTATGGGTAACAAGTCGGCGAAAGATGTCCTTCTGACACTTACGCCTAAAATTCAATACCCTAAACCATAAGCTCTCAGCCCAAAGCCTTCAACCTCAAACACCACGCCCCAAACCCTTGATCCAAGACCTTAACCTCCAAACCTACATCCTAAAACCCAACCCTAGCCGTAAAAATTATTGTTACCATTATTCCTCATTATCTTTTTAATGTCATAGTTGCTATTATCGTTTATTTTCTACGATTATCATCTACTGATCCCCCTGCCAGGTGCCCCGGCTGCAGGACAGGTCCGTAGCTCTCGCGCGTTGGTCGCTCTTCAGCCTACAAGGCTAGGGTTGTACTTGGATGTGCAGGGTAGGCAACAACCCAATTCGAACTATATTTTCTAAACCCTAAACCCTAAAACCCTAAACCCTTGGGGTATATCTAATTACCGTCAGCCTCCAAGTAGGGCTGTTTCTTTGAAGCCTTTGTGCCTACGTCCAGGTGCGTAGGGCATCAACCGACCAGAGCATTTGATCTGGCTGTAGGGGTGGGTGGGCTTAAGGTACAGGACCTGGGATTTGGAGTTCGTGATCCAGTTTTCGTGATACGGAATCCCCCACAGAATCCCCGCCTACGCAAGAATATGGCGCCTACTATGCTGTGGCACCACATTAGACATTGGGAGCATCCTTCATTTGAGCCGGCAAGTTTTCACTCCCTAAGTGGATATTTTGCGGATGTGTAGGGACGGGGCAGGGGGGCGGGGGGGGCGGGGGTGAGGTTCAGCAGTGCTACAGAAGTCTGAGCATGGTCATTGTTTCGATACAAATGAATAGCCCCTTTTTGAAGCTTATTTGGGCTTTACTCCGGCATGGGGTAGTATCTTTCAGAATGCAAAGCAGAGAAAGATCTACCCTAAACCCTAGGACTCCAACATGGCTGCCCACCAGCAATATGGAAAACGGCTTATGACGGGTACAGCAGCTGGAATGGCGATGAATACTTACCAATACTATGGTCCTAGGTTCCTAGTAGAATTCTGGTATAGGCTACCTCAAATGGACATGCACAGGACATTTTAGTGTTGGGGAACAGCTTACAATCCCGGCCAGGCCCTCTACATATACTAAAGCATGGTAGGGGCTCTGGGTTAAGGGTTTAGTGTTCCCCCAAAAGAGGCTCCTGGTGATGAATCCTCTTAGAACCCATCCCGGGCATCAAGAAAAGACCTGTTGAAACCCCGCAGTTTAGGGTTAAGGGACCCCACCACCCAAAACACAAATTTCAAAATCATGAGCCACTCTCTGGCAATAGGATAGCGTTGCTTCGCCTTGTCCACTGGCAGTGACAAGCTGGGATCCTCAGCTCACTTAGCAAGGGCATGAATATGTGGGGCTTTCCAATAATTAGGGGCACCGTGGGGGGGGGTCCCCATATAATGAGGATTATGAAATTTTGGAGGGTCTATATTGAGGTCCCCCTATTTTGGGAAACTATCATATCTTGTAGGATGTAATTATGGTTCCGAGATCCCGATACAAACACTCTTCAAGTTGTTTCTCCGCTCTATCGGAGGAACCATATACGTGCTCACCAAAGGCCTCAAAACGACAGTCAAGCGCGCAATGACCCAGCGGACTTGGCCAAATGGAGCTGCAATCCGAACCCGCAGAGGATGCTAAACGGACCTAGACAATTGCTAATGTCATTCTAAAATCCATTTGAAAGTATTCTTCACCATATTCGTACAAGGATACCAGGACCAGAAAATTTGTAACCCTAAACCCTATAGTCCCCCTTAAGATGATAGAACATGGGGTATATGGGGATCTTAGTATAATATCCACAAAGCCATATTCTATCTACTTACGGGGTACTATACACCTATGGGCTGCTACATTAAGTGTCCGACCATCGGACCTGTAGACATGCCACCTGCAATCAGGCTGCCAGCTTTCACACTTCCCTTCCCCAATCTGATATAGACGCCCATGCAGAAAATGGAAACTACTATTTAGGGTTTAGGGTGTATGGGGAATATATAGGGATGATGGAAAAGAAAATGGAAACTCCCATAATGGTACTGCCCCCACCCTGTAACAGTCTGTATGAGGGGTCAAATAATGGCTATATATGACTACATTATAAATATTCTCCAGCTGTTACAGAGTTGGGGCAGTACCCAACCCAAACAGCCTTCTGATGCCCTCTTTAGAGGGACAGTAGGCTAAAAGGGGGCCACTATCGGAGTTACATGGGGGAAGGCCGGGTTGTTTGTAGGAAGATAAAGGAAGAAGAAAGCTTGTTCCAAGGGAAGAGTCGGACTGAATTGCAGTCGAACACCCCTGCAACCCGCTGCTTGAAAGCCCAGTGAGCATACCCGAGACCCTACATAAGTACCTGAGGTCTTACATCCAAATTAGCCACTGTCAAGAGTCAATAACCCCTGTGACACTCCCCTATAAAATCCCTTATATAACACCCCTTTATGGAGTTTTGACTATCTCATCCAGATGTACATGTGCAAGGTATTTATGTTGTCGCGGCCGAGCTGTGTAAGACCAGGGTTCAGGACTTCAGCCTTTGTGTGGACGGACTTCCGGTCCAGAAAAGAAAGAAATCTCCTGGGGCATTCTACTACGAGCCTACTGCAGAACCTCAGACACTCGAAGCCTACAAAGCCTGTGCATTCTGATAATCACCACCCAGAAGGATTCATCAGTAGCTGCTGGGAAGCTCTAACAAACCTGGCTGCGTCCTGATTCCTGAGGCCTAGCCAAACCGTTTTGAACTTCAAGTGCGAAGTCACATCCTAACATCTTGAACAAGAAGAATGCTGCACAATGCATGCGCAACTTACATCCGGGCAGTGGGAAAGCCTCGGTGGTAAAAACGTCGGCCAAACTTGTCAATCTGCATGAGATAGTAGACCTAGGGCTCAGGGTTCAGAGCTTCGGCACCTTGCTTACTTCATGCACCATTTCGGTCCTTGTTCACGATCCCTTCCCTGTCTAGAGAATGCGTAGAAACAGCTTTCCTCAAGAGCAGTTCTAGGCGGGTAGTTGCCCGATGGGCTCACATAATTCTCGTATGGCGAGGGAATAGAACTGTAGGTTTATACACCTGATACCCTTGTCCACCCTAGGCACATAATTCATGAACCCTAGCTGGTGCAACATTTCCTTCATCCAGATAATGGGCACTCTAGGGGACTCTCAAGGGATGATTAGGTTCCTAGTGAGGATAGGGTAGGGTTGGCATAGTATGACGAAGGCCCCATATTGGGGTGGAGGATTGTTGGGCCAATCCCCCTCCCAGTAATGGGTACCACAGAGGACTATTGCGATAGAAAGGCCCTGTTCAATCCATATTTACGGGGCTATTACTGTAACAAAAGCAGTCAGTATGGAATGTGTGCTCCATCCCATATTTGATACTGTAGATGACATGTCGCAAACGACCCTCAATAAGAGGGCACGACTGATTGCACACAAATGGTACAACTGGTAGATGGCACACGCACATGGCAAGGAGAGGATTCCCTGAACCTAAACTCTACCCTCAACCCTAAACCCTAAAACCCTAAACCCTAAAGCCCTAAACCCTAAAACCTAAACCCTAAAACCCTAAGGCCCTAAAACGCAAAACCCTAAACCCTAAACCCTAACACCTAAAACCTAAACCCTAGTTGAGGTCTTGCCAACTCCAGGGGGAATCTCTGCCTGATTTTCAGCAGCCTCTGCTTCAATGCGTTGACAAGGTCTGGTGGCTTAGAATGAAAAGCCTATGTTTACTGTGCTTAGGGTTTAGGGTTTAGGGGTTTAGGGGTGGGAACCCTATTCTTGACTATTGTTATCATCATTCTTCTTATCATATATTCATGTTATGGTAGCTTATTTCAAGCTCCTTAACAGCAACCCAGTTAAGGGCTTTGCGAATCTTGAAATTTCCAGATGTAGGGATGGTGCGTGCAAAGAAAACGATAATTGGCAAGTTCGGACTACAAATTACACAATAAGCATTAATAAAACGAAATAGCAACAACAATAAGAATAGAAATGAAAAGTACAGTAAGAATAATGATAACAACAACAATAACAATAATAGCAATAAAAGCATGCCTGCGGTCAAGTTTCAGGGGCTATGCAGGGATAATGGCAAAGAAAACAAAAACAACTGTTTCGGGTTTGGGGCGTAGGGATGTTAGTATGATGTTAGGATGTTAATCCCCATAGTCCAAGTTCTGCCTGAGCTTCCCACATCCTCTTCATATTTCCACACGGAGATCTTGTGATTCCTGCACTGCAAATCTGGCACCACGAAAAAGAGGTTGCGGGTAGAGTAGCATCAAGAGCTCACAGAATCACCCAAACATGGAGATTCCATACACGGGGCGCCCCTCCAAGATCCTAAACCCTAAGCCCCTAGAACTAAAGACACTTCCGAAGACACTTCGCAGGTGAGGTTTGCAACGTGCTGCGCTCCTCCGCCCTTGCGGGTTGTAGTCGAACCTCATCCAAGTCCTTGGACAAAACAAGTCAGCATGAGGACACTCCGGTGAGCTTCTTCCTGCTGTTGCCGAAGATACTGTCGTGAATGTTGAATATCTTGCACCACATCGTATGCCTTACCCCCTGCAAGTTAAGACATTTTGGGATTCAAGAATTTCTGCGTGGCGCAAGAGTTCTTCAATACTCGAAGTAGGAAAATCCACGAATCTAATCTAGGAACAAGCACGTTACTCTTTCTACACGCTTCTACATGAACAAATGACAAAACAGATCTGCAAGATGGAGCGAATCATCTTCCATGCTGCAACACGAGCGACCTTGAACTACACCGGCGGCCCTCTTGACTTGCCGCTAGAGATTGAGCTTTTCTCTAGGATGAGCTCAAGACCCCGAAAAAGTAAGGGTGCACTCAGGTGCCGTCTCGATGTAGATGTTGTGCAGCGGGATGGAGGCTTCGGGGGTCATCTGTTCAGCGCATGAGAGCTATGGTCTCTACATCTGCATACAGCACAACAATGAAGACGAAGAGTCTACCACTGCAGCGGCTGCAAACTACCCTGCAGGTGACAAAGACAGGGCAACCATGGCCACATGCTCCAAATCAACAACAGACTGACGGTGGTTACGCCTAAGGCCTACTAAACAAGTGCTCAACATGGGTACTTTGTGCTGAGCAACATGGCAACTTCTGAGCTTCATCATCAAAGACAAGGCTGCACTCCGCACAAACAGGTGGCCTTGATTGAGTTGCGGTAGAAGTTCAGCTTCCAAATCTCGATTGGGTCGAAGAACGGTACGTCATCTACCTGCTTGCTTCCATGATGGCATACCAGGGCTTGTTGAGTTCAGACGCTTTCCTGTCTAGCGGCATAGAAATTTGATTTGCTACTGTTCGACATGCTTCAGGACGGCCTATTATCCTTTCATGTATGAGGAAAGCCGCAGTCGGGCAAGCTCCAGAAGCTTCATACCTCTGCAAGGCCTTTATACAAGCCCCTGTAAGCTGATCAATTGAAACAATGCTTTGGGATTTAGGGTCGGGAAGTTATTTCCAACACCTGGGCTGCGATTTGTTCATGACCTAAGACGGGCCGGGCAAGTTGGGTCAAGAAGGCCCTCCTCATCCCTCCTCCGTACCCGGGCGGCTATTCTGTTTTGGTTCTGGATGGGAGCCTCCAAAGTGCAAGGGTCCTTCTTGGCGAACCTGCCAATGATCCTAGAGTGAGCGCGTCGGGCGGGGGGGGGCATTGGTTTTCTTGTCAATGCTTCAACAGAAACCGTGACGAAAAAAGCTTTAGACATGCAGAACACTACTCCAACAGGATGCGCATCTATACCTGGACATCTTTTTGGGATCCAGGGACAGTAGCCAGCGGGTGCTCTGCAGTTGTGAAAGTGAGCGGGACACCTTCCTCGAAGCCAAATGATCCGAAAGGCTGTGGAGGCCCCTCAGACATGGGTTACAAAGTAAAGGAAATATGGGGGTTTCCCGGTTTCCCAAAATTGGGGTTACCATTATGGGGGGGTCCCTATAATAAGGACTATAATGTATAGGGGTCTTTTTGGGGGTCCCCTATTTTGGGAAACTACCATATAAGCTCTCTCTCTCTCTCTAGGGCGATGCTCCCAGAAACCGTCTCTGTCCCTCTGCGGCACAAGAGTGTCTTGGAAGTACTGCTCCAAAAGCCTACACCCCGTACAATCCATGTAGAGTCTTGGCATAATCTTAGTCTTAACAACAATAAATAAAAGTAGTGATGATAATCATATTAATATAATGGACAATCGTATTAACTGAGAAACACCCACACCACCGTCCTCACTACACCAGCCCCACCCAGAACTTCTGTACTAATGCACAGGGGGCACACGCATCTGGTACATGCTGGCCTTGGTACAGGCTACAGACCAGGTTTCAGGTTGAAAGGGCTTAGGGTTTATAGGGTTTTGGAGTTCAAAGGGCTTTAGTTTGAAGGTTTGAGAAAGTTCTCGGCCCAGGAGAGGGCTAGAACGTGGCCCCAACGAATATCTGTACCAAATTCGGATGTCTACGTGCGGCCCAGGCCCAGATGGAACTTTGATAGAGGGACCGCTGAACAAGAGAGGGTTATTTTGCACTGGCTGCTTGCTCGACTGGTTGGACAGATTAAGCGCGGCAAGCTGGCATGAAAACGAACCATAACATCCTAGGTGAGTGTCAGACCGCGAGACTCTGAAAGTGCATGCTTCTGACACAGCATGCGCATGCTCCGTGAACAGGCTAAGAACACTGCCGCACAGCCGGACCCATAGGTGAAGACCAAGATGATCTTGCCAAGGGCCTGCCAGCACCGAATTGCAGCTTGTCTTTGGAAAAACTGTTCGTTTTGACAGGGCTTTGGCCGTGACTAAGAGGGGACGCAAGAATTCGGCTCTTCACCGGGAGGACACTTGAAGGGCTATGACAAGAGATAGCGGCAAGCGTTAAGAAACCAGACATGATGGTTTGGGGTTTAGGGTTAGGGTCTGGGGCAAGGGGCTTCGGACTTCTGGACTTCTGGAAGTCCCCAAACACAAAACAAACAGATCTTTCTAGGCAGCATGAGCCGCACACCTGATCTTGGTCCGCAACATGTGCTGTGGCTTCCCCTATCAGGCCTTGCCGCACTAGCCCCTAGGTTCCCTCCTAGTTGGCCTTAATCGATCCTAACTATCCTTGAATAACCTTAATTAAGCGGAAGCCGAAGGCTTGTACTGAAATGATTCCCAGAAACCGTCATAAAACACATAGCTTTCGTGTATGGTTTAAGACGGACAGATGTCATAGTCACTCGCGCGGTGAGACAGCCGAGCGGGTGTCAGCAGGTGTGTAGAAAATCAGTAACTAGTGATGGCATAGTTTTCATTTACGGTCTCCGCAACTGAATACCCAACAAATACACTCACCTACATGTCTAAGAAGCCTGGACCTACATGCACTCACCTTCATAATGAAACTCTTTTCAGATACACCTAAACCGGATGGATCGCTATATAACCTCAGTTTCCAGTCCATCTATCATGCATTTTCCATTTGATTCTTCACTCCAGGGATAATACCCCTAAACCCCAAACCCTAGATCCTAATCTCTAACCCCTAAACTCCAACCCCAAAACCCTATTCCCTAAACAGGAATACCGAAACCCGAATGCCTGAACCTAACGAAGAAAAAAAACTCAAGGGGCAGGCCCTGTAAGCCTAAACAGGGTTTAGCTTACCCTTTAACAAAACTACAAGAGAAATAGGTCGGACCAAAGAGGATCATATTCCCACACCTAGAACTCTCCAACATTGGGCCTGCTCTAGGCGAACACCACATACACGCATACGCCAGCACGAAAATATGTGCAGGCTACTGTGCGATGCGAGGGTAGTGCCCAGCTGTTTGCTTGATACATGCGCTCCAAGCATCCGCAGCCCTTGAGCTGGATGCCACAGTCTCCGTCCTGCTCCATCAAGTTCATGATAGTGGAGGAGGTGTTCAGAAAGGACCTGGAGCAGGAGGCACTTTGGGCGTAGGGGCGAGAAGCCTCGGATGTCGCCTTTTCTTGTTGCTTTTGGGTTCCTGGCGTGGGGTGACCTGACTACATGGCTCGTACATGAAAGTTTTCGAAAAGACGCCGATCAACTCAAATAGTTTAGAATGGAATGATCCTAGGGACTCGACACCTTGTTTAATCCTGCTCTGAATGCTAGCGAGGAAATCTGGCAAAAGAGACTGCTCAGTGCGACTGCTTCTCGAGTTCTAGAAGGAGAACTCTCTTTGTGCTACAGAAGCGCGTTGAGAACTCAGGTAAAGGATGCCCACTAGCAATCAGTACGAAGTGGTTTGGGGTCTGCAAAGCACCTGGTACTGGTTCTATTAAGGAGTTCTGCCCGCTGTGAATAGCATCATCTCTGGAAGGTACATGAGAGGATGCTCCTGAAGTTTAAGGAGGATCTGGTGCCATCCCCTTCAATGCGTTCAATGCTTCCTGCACGTGTCTGCATCCAAGGTCAAACGGCAGGCCTGACACCGAAATTGCTTGAGTCACTCTCATGTCGCTGAGGGCTACATCCCGCATTTTTGCAGTACACATTCCGACACTGCGTCGGCGACAAGCCTCATAGGGATCCGCGCTGCGAGCTTGCAGTCACAAGCTCTTGCAGCCGACAGCAGCGTTGGAGTCAACGAGTCAGTTGATGACTCTGAAGACACTGAACTCGCAAACGGCAAATCGGCGAGAAGAATTTGATCTTTCGACTTCGTGTCAAGTTGGGATGCGGCCTGGCAGATGCTGTTGGTCACTGCGGCACTGACATTTACTTTACTCTGTCTGGTCAGGATTCTGGTCAAGAGGTTCTGATCGTCCGGCAGCTGACAGCAACTACGGGACCAACTCGCTGAGCATCTCATCCACCATTTGTGAAACCATGAAGGCTGCCAACCTTGTGCTGATTTCTGAGGCACTGACATTTGCTTCACTCAGTCTGGTCAGGATTCTGCCCACAAGCTTCTCATCGTCCAACTGCGCAGCTGACAGCAGTGGTGGGGTCAATGCATCAGCCAACTCTGACTTCGAAAACGGCAAGTCAGAGACCAGAATTGAAACTTTTGACTTCGTGTCCAGTGGGGACGCGGCCTGGCAGATGCTATTGGCTTCTGGTGCTTTGACATCTGCTTTCATCAGTCCGGTCACGATTCTGGTCAATCTCGCCTGGTCTTCCCACTGTACAGCTGACAGCAAGTGTGGGACCAACCCGCTGAGCATCTCATCCGCAAATTGTGAAACCATGAAGGCTGCCGACCTTGTTCTGATTTCTGAGGCACTGACATTTGCTTCACGCAGTCTGGTCAGGATTCTGCCCACAAGCTTCTCATCGTCCAACTGCACAGCTGACAGCAGTAGTGGGGTCAATGCATCAGCCAACTCTGATTTCGCGAATGGCAAGTCAGAGAGCAGAATTGAAAGTTTCGACTTTGTGTCAAGCTGGGACGCGGCCTGGTAAATGCTTTTGGCTTCTGGTGCGTTGACATTTGCTTTCCTCAATCTGGTCACGATTCTGGTCAAAAGGTTCTGATCGCCCGACTGCGCAGCTGACAGCAAGGGTGGGGTCAATGCATCAGCCAACTCTGATTTCGCAAACGGCAAGTCAGAGACCAGAATTGAAACTTTTGACTTCGTGTCCAGTGGGGACACGGCCTGGCAGATGCTACTGGCTTCTGGTGCTTTGACATCTGCTTTCATCAGTCTGGTCACGATTCTGGTCAATCTCACCTGGTCTTCCCACTGTACAGCTGACGGCAACTGTGGGGTAATCTCATCAACCAAAAGGAAGAAGCTCTCCCCCCAACATTTCAGAACCCCATCCCAACCCTCTGCAGTTGTCGTCCTTATAAGCATCCTTACTGCCAGAAGCTTTGCCAGATCGCTCAGTTCGTCCAGTGACGTGCGGTTCATGTTGCTTGGAGGCAGAACACCTTGCAGCTCACTCTTGATGGCCTCTGTCCATATGGCGGACAGCTGGGGCTCTGCCTGTCTGAATAACTTCTCCTGACGCTTTGTCAATGTTTGATTACATGCTCGGACACGTTGGCCGAACTTCGTAACTACCACATCTATTTTTTTTGCGAGGGTGGACTTTAACTCACCCATCGCAAGGATTTTGTTCTTGCCATCCCGTGTGTCGAACAAGCCTACCAGCGCAGATCTCTGGGCAACGATGCTTGGAATATAGTCGGCCGCACAGTTCTTCAGCTTTTTGGCGTTCTCGCGAACGGCCACCTGACTTGTGAGCACTCGGAACTCCAAAGTCGTTCTGGGGACTGGCCAAGCATTCAGCCTCTGCAGATGCGTGAAAGGCTTGTCTCGAAGTCTAAGCTCCTCGTTGAGCCTTGCCAGAAACCGCGCTGCTCGGGTTTTTAGGAGGTATCAATTGCGTGGGACTTGTGCCTAGTGACCGGCTGTAATTGTAGCAGCATCAGTGCTGCCCTGAACATAGTATCACAAGAGCTGAGTGAATCTTTGCTGGTGATGTGCAAGGGAACCTTCTGCAAATCAGGTCACAAAACTTCTGCACTTGAAGCAGCAATGTAACAGATCAACTTGCCAGGTTTCCAAACGACCTGATCATTCAAGATGCAGACAGAAATCAAGGGCTCTACACGATCTGTCTGCGACCCCCGAACCGCTCCGGGCCTTCTTACTCTCTCCTGCTCAACCTTTTGAATCAGGCGTTTGGGCTTCTCCAACTTCTCCTCTTCCTTGCCCTTGACAGTCGCGTTGAGCGAGATACTGTCATCCTGCAGGTAGCTTGCAACCTCGTCAAGACGCCTCACATTGCTGGCTTTGGCCCAGAAGGCGTGCGTTTTGAGCACGTAGGACACGAGGCGCCTCAGCCACACTCGGATAGGCTTGTTGCAGCTCTGCCGACTCTGAACGGGAAGCGAAATTGTTGCGCATACCACTGAAGCTCAACTCCTATGTGCTGGTAAACACCAAGTGGCACGGGGCCTTCGAGAAGCACCTGCTGGATACAGTCTGCAGCATCTCCCTCTAGTTGGCGAAAGTGCTTTGACATGTAGCCTTCTGCACGGAGCTCGGCGACGGTAGGAAAGCGGCGGTCGGCAGGGCTCTGTTTTTTACGCCAGTCCTTGTATGCATCTTTGGCATAGAAACGGCCAGCACCGGGCAGGAAGAGCAGCCGGCGAAGTTGTTGCAACTTCCGCTTTCTGGACCTCTCTCCATCTGCAGTGTGTGCTTTCATGTCAGTGAAGGCCCAACCTCCATAGTCATCCCCGAGAGAGGCCTTTATCTTCGAGACAAATCTATCTGAGGGTCCCCTGGCTAGCAAGGACTTGTAGTCACATCCGGCCCCAAAATGACGGCCAAACTATGAGCGGCGAGGATTGCTACATCATCCACACAGGGATTCGCTTGGCTGGTGCCACTTTCAACACCGTCTGCACTGGAGACGAGAGGTGCAGATTGATCCGTCGTGCTTGAATCCAGCTCGTGAGAGGCAATGAGTGGATTCAAGTAGCCTCCACAGTGAAAGCCGCGAGCATCGATCCGCCCACGCGTACCTTCAATCTGGACTTCATAGACATCGTCCTTGTGCTTCAGAATCTTGCCATCACTCACGGGCACCGGGCCATAGTTGCTGTGGCAGATCCGTATAGCGTCACCAATCCAGTAGATTGTGGCCTGGCAGGGTCAGCGCTGCGGAATGATCATGGACTTAGCCTGCCTTGGCTTGACTTGCTCAGGAAGGGCTACGTCGCTTGTCTAGGAGGAATTAGTATTGTACCCTCCAATACCCAAAAGCTGTGCCTTGCCATTTTCTGGATCAGACGCATCTCGGTAAGTGCCCAGAGGTCTCCAGCCTTCTTTCTCCAAATCTTCTTTCTGCCACTGTGCGGTTTGTTGGCCTTGTCTCTGCCAACGCCGAACCTCAACTATGGCTTGGCCAGGGCCGTCTGGGTACACAGACATTCTCCCTAACTGATTCGCGTACCCAGTGCTCGTTGACACTATCAGAAGCTGCTGACGGCCAAGAAGCCTTTGCCCGCGCCAGCCTGCTTCCTAGAAGCACCACAGGGCTGCTCACCAATCCCGTTAGGTGTGCACGGACCTGAAAGGCATTACATGAATGACGGCAAGCCTCGTGCCAAGAGCAGCTGACTCTTGCGATAACTTAAGCCCCCGACAGGCCACGTGGAAGATTGCGTGGAGAAGGTGAGTGATGGAATTTCCCTGTCCGGGTGCGGAAGTGCATTGCGCCCCGTGTATGCGGCAGGTCCCAGCATTCCAGGAGACCGCAGATTTCCAAACATGGCTGTCTCTCACAGACCAGCTTGCTCAGCTGGGGCGGTGCTTCAAGAACAATAGATGACAACAGGTGCCCTTATTTTTTTTGAGACAACAACAAACCTGCCTCATCTTCTTGAGCCAACCTCTAAAGATGCTGCGTTACATCAATTGTGCAGTTTCATGCGACGAGCACTGCTCGCCTGACCAAGTTGTTGTTGAGCTCTTGGGTGTAGACTCCTGGTATGCCGGCCTTTTGCAGATGCCTCTTGGAACGGAAACAGTAGACCTGATTCCTCACAGGAAGCACTGCAAGAGGCATCCGTGTTCCAGCCTCTAATCCCCAAGTCCTAGACCCCCCAAAACTGCTATCATCAAGGCAGGGGTGTGCCGGTGACCTTTGCTATCCATAGCCCAACGTGCTGGACATGCTCATCGAAACCACGGCTGATCCAAACCCAACAACCCCCAATCCTGAAGCTCACACATCAAAAACTTGAAAACCTGAGATCAAGGCGAGACGGTATGGCAAGGCCCGATGATCTTCAGCAGGGTGACCTGTAGAGTCCAGTTGATGACGCTAAAGTGCGAAAGTTTATGGCTCAACGGCTGCCCGTCCAAATACCATTTGAGGATGCTTGCTGCTTGGAGTATTCTAGATGGATGTTGGATTTGCGCGATGTCTGAGAATGCCAGCGTGTAGATCGCAAGCAAAAACGCACGAAAGCATGGCCAGCATGTTCAGCAACTGTGGGTGGAGGCGTACAAAAGTTGTGAGCACGCTCACGGGGTGGGGGAAGGTTGCGCTCAAACCCTTCTTATAATGGGAATGGAGCCCTGTAGTAGGCCCCATACAATCCCCGATGTAGTCCCTGTACCCTAGTCAATTCAAGCGGAAACCCTAAATAATGTACCATTTGCCATTGCGTGTCCTTTCCCTTCTATTCCCAACTCAGCATGGATAGGCTTCTCGATGTGGACTTTTAAGTTTGAGCCTTCCTGCGTGGCTGGCTTCTGAGCCCACTATGCCACTAAGAGCCCCTAGAAGCCAACTAATCCCCTCCCCCTGATATTAAACCCAACACCCCCCCTGATACTAAATACTCCCAATATATGATAATACTGGAGCGGGCAGAAAGTTCGTCGCGCGGCCGTGGTTGCACCTGAAACCGGGCCAACCCCCCTCCCTCGTATACTCCTCTACCAGCAACGGACTCAAGTCCTCCGTCTGAAGCAATTCCAGTATCATAAGTTTATTCCGGCTTGATAATGCCTCCGCTAGCCAGCCAGTGAAAACGAGCCTCTGAGTACTCCGTGTCCTCCGCCATGTAGCAACATGTAAATGCAACCAAACTATCCGCCCGGTGATGCTCTAGAAAATAGGCTTCAGACCAAAAGCCTTCTGAAGCACCCCCAACGCGCTTGCGCCGCACACTTGCCCATAAAACGCATGCTGCGGCGGGCGGAAAGTTCGTCGCACGGCCATGATTGCACCTGAAACCGAGCCAACCCCCCTTTTTCCATAGACTCCTCCACCAGCAACAGGCCTCAAGTCCTCCGTTTGTAACAATTAAAGAATTTTAAGTTTATTCCAGCGTGATAATTCCTCCGCTAGCCAGGCCAGTGAAAATGAGCTTCTCAGTACTCCGCGTCCTCCGCAATGTA